AGTCATTTTTGGTAGAAAGTGATATTTTCGACTTCTTGTTAAAAACTGTAAGTCCGATTGCTTTGATACTATACATATTGTTCATTTTCTGATGATGTCTTCAGTTCTTTAATTGAAATGTGCATTTCTAACAGCGGAGCTATCTCAGCCGATAGGCTGCTTGTTTAGTTTAATAATGACAAACTTGCATATTAATTATCTAATTATTATTAGCCAATTTCTGATATCTCAAAAAATCATATTTAATTGTGGTAGAAATTCTCTGGAATAAATTTTACTGAAAATCACACATGAAAAATCATTATATATTTTTTCTTAAGTAATATACCGGTAAACAATAATGTGGATCACATTGTCTTCATTGTACATTAGCGGAGAGTTTTCAAATAGGCAGAACTCATTTGCTTTTGCCAGTCCTGATGTAATTCATGACATTGAGACTGACCATTCACGTTTGTTTTTTCTAGTCTTGGTGTAACACTTATGCATGAACATCTGATGGTTGACTATGCAAAAAACTATGGACTTCCTGTTGCTGAGTCATCAAGAGCTACAATTGGTGGATTGACATTAGAACAGCAACAACATCTATGGCTTCAGCCACTTACGCTACAAAACGTTGGTCATGTGAGAAGTTATTTTAACCAGGTATATAACAGTTATACTGCTTGCCATGACAACTAACCAACAAGTTTGGATAAATAAGGGTTTCACTAAGTTCTCGAGCAGGCAGCTATAATTAAAAAGTAGCACGCCAAAATGTGACATTTTGCTATAGGTTGAGAGTCATAAAAATACAAAGTAGTCAGCTGAACAAGCCAAGTATCTATGTCTATGTAACAAGCAGATACCTCTCATTTCCCCTGGGCTATTGTTGTTTTTGTGTCTCCTGTTTAGTGGATGACACTTCATCTGACAAGCATTTCCATGGGCTGTCTTTGTAACATGGATCTTGTCTATTTGCTAGGTTGTTTTTTACCTTGCCCATATCATCAAATATGGTATATTAAAGGGAAAGCTATATTATTAAGGGGAAAATGTCTGTCGTCATTGTCATCGTTATTGTTGTTAATAATTGTTAGTGTATGCACAATAACTTTACTAATTCTATTCCAAACTTTATCAAACTTGGTCACCTAATTCATTAGCATAAAATCTTCCCTGTGTGAAAATTGAGAAAATCTGATAAAATGTTTCGACTGTTTCTACTTGAATGATCACTGGTAATACACATTCAAAAGTTACTGATCTCAGTGGAAATATGCATTGTTGTCTGTGTTCAATGAAGCAAATCATTTATCTTGTAATAATATCATTTGTAATGTATCTCCTAAATCCCATAGGAATACTAGACTGGGTTTCAATGCCATCTCATTGAGAGAGTTGTAGCACAGTCTGATACACATTTGCAAACAAACAAATAAAACCTTAACAGAAAACAAGATGTCAGATAATCAATATAAGCACTCCTATAAATTGGGTGCCAAACTTTTGATCAAGATCTGAAGCTAATAGAAAATCTGTTTAGTCCAAAGTTATCAAATCAAAAACAATGCAAAAATACATGAAAAGCAAAACATTGCATCCACATATTGAAAGGAAAATTGTACTCAAAAATATGTATTCTGTATTTGACAAACAGTTCATTTGACAAAACATTTTTTGTTGAAGTATATAAATTTTGAAAATCAAAGTTCACAGGAATTTGTTTCAGCTATTAATTATAGAGCTTTTATAATACTAATTTAAAAATGCACTTCAAAAACAAAGATTGCACTATTTGAAGATGTAGATTCTCAGGAGGCAACAGTACTTTTGACTTCTCTTCTCTTCACTGGACTGTTTGAGTTGATTTGCATATAAAGCAGAGCTTGCAACATGATAGTTATTCCTAGAGGGAGTTTTTTTTTACTTTTCAAATAGTACAGTAGTGGCATAATGAATAAGGCAGTTCATTTTTGTCTCAGTAAATCATTAATTTTTGACTGACACCTGTACAAAATTCTTGGGCAAAAGCCAGCTAAAATTTTCTGTTATCTTGCATGTTTTATGAATCTATTCACGTCTAAATGCAGCACTTTTTTCCTGAGATGCGGCATTTGTTTTTATACTAAAATATCTCAAATACTTTGAATAAAGCTGGAAATTATGTCCCTTAAAATAATTAAAGAAATTAGGCACCAATGTTTTTGTAAGATATTTACATCAATCTAGGACATTGGTAGACTGCTTTCTCACTGCTGTTTCAATCCTAAAACTTGTTTGTATTAAAAATTAATTATGAAAATGCATATTCCTATTGAAACAAACTATGATAAAGGAAATAATATTATACAACAAGGGGAAAGGTCACTAGAGTTCAACTATGTTTTGATATTCTCACTGTGCAGAAGATGCTCAGTTCATTCAATTTATGATCAAAATGTACCTACAAACCTACTAAATTAATTCACTGTACCTGTGATAGCATGCTACGTAGCTTCACCCTGGATTTCCTATAATCTCATATTTGTGATATTCGTAATAGAAATAAATAGAGCAGGACTTTGGTACAATACTTATTATCAGTAAAAGTTGTCATGTAGGGTCTCATGAGATAATCAGTTTAGCTTTGGGTCATGGAGTTTATATCCAGCACTCGATACAACAACATTGTTTCTGGATTTGCCATATCAGAGTTACCTGGTATGCATTTCCACATAATAATGGCGACATATTCTAGTAATTGATGAATGTTTATAACTATAATTTATCATACATGTATATTCACAAATTATGTATTTATTTTTAGAATAAAGACAATATGATACTGAATGATGTACATGTTATGTGTGAAGAAATGTCAATCTACAAAGCACGTGGTGGAAGTTCTTTAGGTAAGGTCAACTTTACCCCAATTGCTTTTATTGTACTGTTACACTATGTGTACATTATAAGGTACATCATGGCTTGCATATATCGACTTGTTATGAACTTTAAAACTGGAGGCTTGGAATAAATACTGGTAAATTATCTTAGATTATAAATCATCTAAATGTATCCAAATGTATGACTGTGTGTACCCTCCAATTTATGTAGACTTGCAATGACTGAAAATGTTAACAATCCTTAACAATAGTTTTCTTAGCATTTTTTTGGTTAATTCTTGACTAATTGGAAAAGGTTTGCATATTTTACCAAC